TTCGATTGAAATCACTACCTGAAAATCATCTAGATATTGCCAGAACATACAACAACATGGGTGGCGTGCATGATAATCAGGGCAATTATGTTGAAGCATTGAATTATTATAAAGAGACACTTGAAATTCGATTGAAATCGTTACCTGAAAATCATCCGTCGATTGCAAGAACATACAACAACATAGGCCATGTGCATGATAATCTACGCAATTATATTGAAGCATTGAATTATTATAAAAAGACACTTGAAATTCAATTGAAATCGTTACCTGAGAATCATCCGGATATTGCTGTAGCATACTGGAGCATCGGTAACCTTTACCGTGAGGAAGGATATCAGAAAGAAGCTCTGGAGGAATTGGGAAAAGCATTGCAGGTAGCATTGAAGTCATTACCATCTAACCACCATCATGTTATTGGAATTCGAAATTCGATCAAATTAGTCGAACAGCATTCTTGACCCCCCCCCCCCCCCCAAACATGACATCTACCTTTTCTTGGTGGTCTTTTCATGGTTGAGTTTTTAGGATGTGGTCTTTAAAGGAAGGATGTATTTCTAAGAGATTCAAGGGTAAAAGGTTTAAGGTACTTCCAGTCAGATCCGCCCACCATGGCATGACATAATAGTAGCAAATATTTCAAGACTCTTCACGTGTAGAGCATAAAAGATTACATACAATCCCATATTTGTTTGCTAAAACAGCCATATTCTTCAGGCCTTTTCAGGGATATCAAGTTTCGCGCTCTCTTACAATGGAGCAACTCTGATCTTGTTTTTCTCTACATTAGTAGAGTTAACGTCGACGTTTAATATGCCATATGAATGCATATGTAAAGCATCTTTTGCTTGTTTTAATATTGACAGTGACTCTGTTCTTTTTCCTTTAGCAATGAAACTATTTGCCAAGAGTGCCTTGTCATTAATAAATATAATGTTTACTATGAATGATGAATATATTACGGCAGCTGTCCGCGGCCTAAATTACCCTATAAAAAAAGATTTAATATGGTAGGGCCTGCTAACAAGCCTGCCATTGAACTCCAGCAGGTAAAATTCTCGGAAAACATGTCTAAAATTAGTTCGAAAATTAAAAAAACAACTCAGCATCACACAGATGCTTGAAATGGTTTAAAACCACTTCTTTGATAAATCTAGATTCAACTGCATGTACATCTAGATGCACGTGTAGCTGAATCTAGATAAACCCAAAAAGTTGGGGAGTTTTTGCTTTGGCAATCTATATTCAAAAGATAGCGCACGTCGAGTATGATCGAATAGAAGTATGTTTATCTTGAAGTTGGGCATAAATGGCATTTTAGATCAAATCATAACTGGAGTTAAATGCAACTTTTCGCAGAATTGATGTCGGTAATATAGTCATTTTGGTGCTATGGTGAAAAATTAAACATTTTTCGAAAACATACCGTTGGATAGCTCGAACGATTTGCTCGAAGAAGTGCATTCGCATGAAACGGCGATATGCACCTCTTCTGATAGAAAACTCGTTAGACTGTTCAACACAGTATTTAGATTTGTTCCAGCTTTTACTAAAAAATAACAAACAAAGGAGTTCTTGTGATTATGACACACTGTATTGCATATATAACACCCAAAGGCTTCTTTTACTTATATTTAATAACTGACCCCATCTTCAAGATTTAAACATACTTGTATTCGATCATACTGGACGTGCGCTATCTTTTGAATATAGATTGCCGAGGCAAAAACTCCCCAACTTTTTGGGTTTTTCTAGATTCAGCTACACGTGCATCTAGATGTACGTGGAGCTGAATCTAGATAAATAACGCAAAAAATTGGGTCGTTTTTGCTTGGGTGGTTACTTACCCAAAATGAGTGAAAACGATCACGTCTTATTTTTGAATAAGTGGTTTTACATCTTTTCAAGCATCTGTGTGGTGATGAGTTGTTTTTTTTAATTCTCAAACTGATTCTTGACATTTTTTCAATATGATGATTAGAATTAAAGAAACAACTCCGCATCAAACAGATGCTTGAAAAGATTTAAAACCACTCGTTCGAAAAGATTTGCCTTAGCCACTTTACAATTCTTACGTTAGTACTAGTTTCGCTTTTCTTTTGTTACTGTAGTCCGTGAAAAGGATAGATATCCGGATGAACTGTCAAAATTAACGCATTGTGGCGAAGGTGTGCTAACCGAGAATAAAATGTAGAATACAGCAATATCAGTCCGGAATTTAAATTTCTTTACAATAATATTTTTCTTCCAAAATCGCTAGAAGGGTTGAATGTTGAATGTTAAGAATATTTAGACTTGTGTAATTAACATTTAAATGTTGGTTTGTCTGTCTGGTTGTTTCTACATTTTTTGTTGTTATACAGAATTTCTTCTTGATAAATAAAGTTTCCACAATTGTGAGTTTGTTTTCATTCTTTTAGCTATCTGTTGAAAATATACGTAAGATAATAGGTTACTTCACAGCATGGAAAACGCCAAGACCACGTGTAAAGAACATCAGTACGATAAGAAAGAAAGAGACAAAAGAGGAAAATGTCAGTATATGAGGTGGTGTTGCTTTGTAAAAAGAATGCTAACTATATTTAGTCTCATGGATTTATACCTTCATTTGCCTCAAGTATAAAAAGTACTTGGAACTCGCTTTAGGTTCATTCATTTTGTTAATGGAGATAGATTCTAACAGCGCTGATTCCGGCGAGACAAGTGATTGTAATAGAAAAACAAATCTGTGACATTTTAAGAGATGGGCATTGTGAGAGTGAGTTCGGAAACTGGTTTCACACAAAATATATTTTCATGATGCGAAACTTCCTGTCTGTGACTGTGTAGATAATGACTAGTCACTACGTAACTTCAGTTAACTTTGAAAACATGACGTTCAAAATACAAAGCTGGCCTCATTTATTCGTCTTTTCCAATAAACAATTGTTCGCGGTAATGTCGTTTTCTGTATTCGCGGTGATGTCGCTTTTTGTATTCGTGGTATTGTCGTCAGCGATAACGTCTCGCGGTAATGTCGCTGTATTATGTGGTGCTGTTCCTTATCACTGTTATTGATACCTCTCTATCTCGTTGTCAAGACGAAGTAGGAGGCTGAAAATTTCAGGGTCGCCACATATGAGCTACAATCTCCGATGATCAGAATTGAGAAGTTGATTTCCCCGAAAACCTTGGATTTTAGTTGGACATTGCCAAAGGACTGGGTGTATAAGGTGGGAAATCGGCCCATAGTACTTTTTGAAGTGAATCCTTTACTGTCTTATGTGGAATGAAAGAGCACATTGAGATGAACATTATTGTGACGGAACTTGGTTGTTTAAATGTGGCCATGAAGAATTATATATGAGTCAACTTGTGTTTTTTCGGGTTATTATTGACTCCGATGAGCATTTTTAGTTTGGCACCTTCATTGGTTATATCTACCATACACCATCAGCCCCGGCTAGTGCACTGCTGTCAGGTCCCAAGTCGCTGATATGTATGATCACCGTTTGTTCACCAACAAACAAACACTGACTTCTAACGTTCACTTTCGCACTCTCCTATAGCAGCACGGAATCCTACATATAAGGTCATGAACAAGATACGTCAGACCCTATCTTTTTTTTCCGAGAAATATGCTTTTCTTCTCGAGATATACGAAAAATGCCGAAGAAAGTCAGATTTTTTCAGTTTTTTTCATACATCGATTTTTTCTTTCGATGTTCTATCTCTGCTATAAATCTGAGCTCAATCGGACGCGTGCTCCGCATTTGGCAACAAGGTGAAAAAAGAGGAGGGGTGCCCTTAATAGGATCTTAAATATGAAAACATGCGTAATTACACAGGCTTTAAAATGATCTATAACATACCTTTTCGAACTAAAGTCTTGATAGAGTTATTAGTCAAATATTATCTATGACTATTTGCTTCCTGTATATGTAACTCTCACTAAAATCGCGTCGAAAATCGATATAGTTTTGCCAACGCACTCAGATCCGGAATGGTTTATACGTAGAAAAATGTAGAACAATCAGCTATAATACATTCTCGTATAAGTTTGCCTTCAGAGATGCATTGGACAAATACTTGGCGGGTATCTCAGTTTTCTCGAAACATAAACTCTCAGAAGCTGCTCTTTTCATAAGACGTTGACCTCGATGAGTAGATAGAAGCAACCAATTTTTGCCGGAAAAAAATTCGAAACTCGGACACAGAATGTCCAACCAGACTTAAAAACACATGTCTATGGTCCATTCTGAACGCTGATTTTAGGATTAAGCGCGACAAAGATATCCTCATTTTTCTGAGAACTAGCGATATTTCGGATGAGGAGCCTCTCATAGTATTTTTAATTTTTCTCTATGAAGTCACGCACTAAAAAGGATCGGAAGGTGATATTCGTGATCAGCGTAAAATTCTCTATACGATCATGTATAAACGAAACAAAAATAAAGTTTCACTAAAACTTTGAATTTCGTGCACTTTATAATGACACATGTTCGTGTCAAGTTTGTTGACAAAAGTCGGGAAGGCAATCATTTAAACTGCCATACTCTCCATGTGAAAGCAGATGAGTCACAAATATTCGAAAATTCGAATGAATTACGAAAGAAAAACGATACAAAAGTGCAGTGGAAAAGAAGGCGTTTCTGTTTACTTGAATTGTTTCATATCTTTAGTTTTATTAAAACCGACTATATCTGATAGTACAATGAGCTCTGTAAACGAGATGTTACTTTTTATTTGTATAGACAAAAAATGCCGAGCTGAACAAATCTCATTATGTAGACAAGAAAAAGAGTGGCGGCTAGAAATAACATTACGCCTGGTTGATAGAGAATAGTGCAAAAATACAACATAATATATACCCAGGTCAACTATCTTGCAAAAATCGCGACGTGACTCGCGATGAAAAGTCACGGCGTGAACGCGTCACGCGAATAGCAGTCTAGACGCTAAATGTGACGCTCTTACCGCGATAGCTATAAATTCGCGATGAAGTGGAATTTCTGCTATACTTTTGCTAGACTGGCGGCGTGACTCGCTAAGTCGCTATATGAGTACCGCTTTCTATCCATTAAACCAGAGCGAATCTTCATTCTCGCTATGTCGCGACATGAGTCCTACATTTTATGGAGAAAAATCAGCGCGACAGACTGTTCTCGCTACGTGACTCCTATAATCGCTACATGAGTCCTACTTTCGCGGAGCGAATTTTTTTATTCTCGCCATTATACTCGTTTTAGCGTAAAACAGAAAGATAAGCAGCAGAAGAAGAGTAATATCAGAGGTTTGCATTTCAGGGAGAAAGGATACTTTGTCAGCATCCAGTTCG